CACCTTGATGTACACCAGACGGTCACCCCACAAATCACCTTGATGTACACCAGACGGTAACCCCACACATCACCTTGATGTACACTAGACGGTAGTCCCACACATCACCTTGATGTACACCAGACGGGAACCCCACACATCACCTTGATGTACACCAGACGGCAACCCCAGACATCACCTTGATGTACACCAGACGGCAACCTCACACATCACCTTGATGTACACCAGACGGTAACCCTACTCATCACCTTGATGTACCCCAGACGGCAACCTCACACATCACCTTGATGTACACCAGACGGTAACCTCACACATCACCTTGATGTACACCAGACGGTCACCCTACACATCACCTTGATGTACACCCGACGGTAACCGCACACATGACCTTGATGTACAACAGACGATAACCCCACACATCACCTTGATGTACACCAGACGGTATTCCCACACATGACCTTGATGTACCCCAGACGGTAGTCCCACACATCACCTAGATGTACCCAAGACGGTAACCCCCCACATCACCTTGATGTACACCAGACGGTAACCCCACACAACACCTTGATGTACACCAGACGGTAGTCCCACACATCACCTTGATGTCCCCGAGACGGTAACCGCACACATCACCTTGATGTACACCAGACGGCAGTCCCACACATCACCTTGATGTACACCAGACGGTCACCCCACAAATCACCTTGATGTACACCAGACGGTAACCCCACACATCACCTTGATGTACACTAGACGGTAGTCCGACACATCACCTTGATGTACACCAGACGGTAACCCCACACATCACCTTGATGTACACCAGACGGTAACCCCACACATCACCTTGATGTACACCAGACGGTAGTCCCACACATCACCTTGATGTGCTCCAGAAGGTAGTCCCACAGATCACCTTGATGTACCCCAGACGGTAACCCCACACATCACCTTGATGTACACCAGACGGTAGTCCCACACATCACCTTGATGTACCCCAGACGGTCACCTCAGACATCACCTTGATGTACCCCAGGCGGTAACCCCACACATCACCTTGATGTACACTAGAAGGTAGTCCCACACATCACCTTGATGTACAACAGACGGTAACCCCACACATCACCTTGATGTACAACAGACGGTAACCCCACACATCACCTTGTGTACACCAGACGGTAACCCCACACATCGCCTTGATGTACACCAGACGGTAGTCCCACACATCACCTTGATGTACACCCGACGGCAGTCCTACACATCACCTTGATGTACACCCGACGGTAACCCCACACATCACCTTGATGTACACCAGACGGTAACCCCACACATCACCTTGTGTACACCAGACGGTAACCCCACACATCACCTTGATGTACACCAGACGGTAGTCCCACACATCACCTTGATGTACACCAGACAGTAACCCGAAACATCACCTTGATGTACTCTAGTCGGTAACCCCACAAATCACCTTGATGTACACCAGACGGTAACCCCACACATCACCTTGATGTACACCAGACGGTAACCCCACACATCACCTTGATGTACACCAGACTGTAACCCCACACATCACCTTGATGTACACCAGACGGTAACCCCACACATCACCTTGATGTACACCAGACGGTAACGCCACACATCACCTTGATGTACAACAGACGGTAACCCCACACATCACCTTGATGTACAACAGACGGAAACCCCACACATCACCTTGATGTACACCAGACGGTAACCCCACACATCACCTTGATGTACACCAGACGGTAACCCCACACATCACTTTGATGTACACCAGACTGTAACCCCACACATTAACTTGATGTACACCAGACGGTAGTCCGACACATTACCTTGATGTAGAACAGACGGTAACCCCAAACTTCACCTTGATGTACACCAGACGGCAACCCCACACATCACCTTGATGTACACCAGACGGCAACCTCACACATCACCTTGATGTACACCAGACGGTAACCCCACACATCACCTTGATCTACACCAGACGGTTATCCCAAATATCACCTTGATGTACACTAGACAGTAACCCCACACATCACCTTGATGTACACCAGACGGTTACCCCACACATCACCTTGATGTACACCAGACGGTAACCCCACACATCACCTTGATGTACACCAGACGGTAGTCCCACACATCACCTTGATGTACACCAGACTGTCACCCCAGAAATCACCTTGATGTACACCAGACGGTAACCCCACACATCACCTTGATGTACACTAGACGGTAGTCCCACACATCACCTTGATGTACACCAGACGAGAACCCCACACATCACCTTGATGTACACCAGACGGCAACCCCACACATCACCTTGATGTACACCAGACGGCAACCTCACACATCACCTTGATGTACACCAGACGGTAACCCCACTCATCACCTTGATGTACCCCAGACGGCAACCTCACACATCACCTTGATGTACACTAGACGGTATTCCCACACATGACCTTGATGTACCCCAGACGGTAAACCCACACATCACCTTGATGTCCCCCAGACGGTAACCCCACACATCACCTTGATGTACACCAGACGGCAGTCCCACACATCACCTTTATGTACACCAGACGGCAGTCCCACACATCACCTTGATGTACCCCAGACGGTAACCCCACACATCACCTTGATGTACACCAGACGGTCACCCCACAAATCACCTTGATGTACACCAGACGGTAACCCCACACATCACCTTGATGTACAACAGACAGTAACCCCACACATCACCTTGATGTACACCAGACTGTATTCCCACACATGACCTTGATGTACCCCAGACGGTAACCGCACACATCACCTTGATGTACACCAGACGGTAACCCCACACATCACCTTGATGTACACTAGACGGTAGTCCCACACATCACCTTGATGTACACCAGACGGGAACCCCACACATCACCTTGATGTACACCAGACGGTAACCCCACACATCACCTTGATGTACACCAGACGGTAGTCCCACACATCACCTTGATGTACCCCAGACGGTAACCCTACACATCACCTTGATGTACACCAGACGACAGTGCCACACATCACCTTGATGTACCCCAGACGGTCACCTCAGACATCACCTTGATGTACCCCAGGCGGTAACCCCACACATCACCTTGATGTACACCAGAAGGTAGTCCCACACATCACCTTGATGTACAACAGACGGTAACCCCACACATCACCTTGATGTACAACAGACGGTAACCCCACACATCACCTTGTGTACACCAGACGGTAACCCCACACATCACCTTGATGTACACCAGACGGTAACCCCACACATCACCTTGATGTACACCAGAAGGTAGTCCCACAGATCACCTTGATGTACCCCAGACGGTAACCCCACACATCACCTTGATGTACACCAGACGACAGTGCCACACATCACCTTGATGTACCCCAGACGGTCACCTCAGACATCACCTTGATGTACCCCAGGCGGTAACCCCACACATCACCTTGATGTACACCAGAAGGTAGTCCCACACATCACCTTGATGTACAACAGACGGTAACCCCACACATCACCTTGATGTACAACAGACGGTAACCCCACACATCACCTTGTGTACACCAGACGGTAACCCCACACATCGCCTTGATGTACACCAGACGGTAGTCCCACACATCACCTTGATGTACACCCGACGGTAGTCCCACACATCACCTTGATGTACACCAGACGGTAACCCCACACATCACCTTGATGTACACCAGACGGTAACCCCACACATCACCTTGTGTACACCAGACGGTAACCCCACACATCACCTTGATGTACACCCGACGGTAGTCCCACACATCACCTTGATGTACACCCGACGGTAACCCCACACATCACCTTGATGTACACCAGACGGTAGTCCCACACATCACCTTGATGTACAACAGACGGTAACCCCACACATCACCTTGATGTACACCAGACGGTAACCCCACACATCACCTTGATGTACAACAGACGGTTACCCCACACATCACCTTGATGTACACCAGACGGTAACCCCACACATCACCTTGATGTACAACAGACGGTTACCCCACACATCACCTTGATGTACACCAGACGGTTAACCCCACACATCACCTTGATGTACACCAGCCAAGAGTCCACAACCAACTAACCCCTGATGACTTTTAAATTGTCATTATTATAGGCGACCAAAGCATATAAACGATGTTGAGTTCTACCCTCGCCTTAATCTTGTTTTGTAAACATTACGTTTTGATATAAACTGCTGATACTGTCATCCAGTAAATGACCAGTCCCTTATGTAGATAAGGATTATTAATATAAATGATGAATTGTTTTTTCGAACTTACATGCAATTACTGTAAAAAAATATATTTGGAAATATAGTCGGTCGCTCATATATTAACCGATTATAAGCAGGACTTCTACATCAGATCTAATTGACTTCCTGGTATTAAAATGTACATTTACTCTATGGATTAGAATCTAGCCTATAGTATGAAGAAGTCCACGCGTTTTACTACATTAATTGTCATATATAATTTATTTATGTCACTGAGACAAATGACCGTTGTCTGGTTTTACGTCAAGTGAGACCAAGACATCGTCAGTCCTACTCGTGTACGAGATGCTCGAGACCCAAATAAAACTATTCCTTGTATGCTTCGCGCTGAGATCGTATTGGCCGATGTTCCTCGATCATCACCTCCACCGCCTTTCCTCCCCTCACCGCTGAGTCATGACATCTAACCGCCTTACTCAACTCGTACGGGCTAACTACGAGATGAATTTTTTTTTTATCGACTATATGAATGAAGCTATCCTCTGAAAATCTAACTGACTATACACATAATTTTTTGTCACATATTTGCTTGCATTGTGATTTTAGTACGGTATAGTAGTCAGAAATATGCAACCAAGAATATGTGGGAGAGGCACTGACGTCACCATAGGTGAGCATCCGGGCACCTGCCTCTATGCATTCTGGGATAGGCGATACAGACACAACCATGTCTAGCCAAGAAGTTGAAAAGTTTGTGCCTAATAATAATGTACATATGTACTGTGATTGAAGGATGCTATATGTGTTTCGTATGAGCCAGTGTTTACTACTACACTAAGATACACCACATTGGCCATAGGTTCTTGGAGTTTCTCATACGAAGAAATATTTCGAACGATCCAGCTATATTTAGTTGGTAGTAAATTGCGAGCTTGGACAACCATAAGAGGATATCATTCGTAGCCTTGGACATCTAATTTAAGTAAGGAATCAAATGAAGATATGACACAACAGGTATAAGTATGTTTTAGTTCATACTCTACAGGAGAGCGCCTTGTTATCTTTGTTCTGTTTCTTTCTCTCCCTACCCCTCATTCTATTCAGCTTTGTTTTTGTAGGTTCTTGCATGACGTCACTCGTAGAGAGGTCGGTGAGGGTTGAAATTTAATCTAGATTCTAGGCTACACTCATCCGACTCTGTGAGCTCGAGACAGCTAGATGCTGGTTGTAGAATGCACAGCTGCATGATCAGCAAAATGTGTCATGCAAGTTGACTGATTTTGTTTGGGCTGAACTCGTTGTTCGTAGTCAAATAAATCCCATCAGTAGGCCTATCTGATGGGTTGGCCTAATGTATCATTTATAGGCATAATGATCATTGCTCATCTCCAGCCCCAGCCAATATTTCAATTTTGTCGGCCACATGTCCTTCTACATTTGCAGGACACTGAATGACATTATTATTGACCTGCCAGCAATTGCAAACTGTGATTCAGTTGCTATTCGTGTTGGGTACTACACTTCTGGCCCAGTTGTAAAGTTTCTACCCAAATTGCAGTGTTTTATGATTGTCATGTAAGAAAATTGATGGTTATCCGATATTACCTAGATCTAGCTGTTCGCTATAGCCAGTGTTACATTCAACATGGCCAACGGTACGAATACTTCTATAACCACATCTTGACAATACTGTAAATAACTTCAAAAAAAATAATTTCAAATTTTGTAGACATAGATTCAAGTCATGTTAAAAAGATAACAGTGATGGATTATGTTCTGTAATGTGTAACCTATGTATGTGTATATATATGTGTGTATATATTTATATGTATGTGATTGAAAGATGCTATATGTGTTTCCTATGAGCCATATATATATATTTATACACATACATGTTTCTCCCATCTTGTGACGGGGTGAAAAGGAGATATTTTCACAAGTAGCATAGCTTTCCCCTGTCATGAGATGAGAGAAACATGATATTTCACAAGACATATGGAATATCCTACTTATTATGCACTTTTTGTGTAGGTGTCGACTGGAAAATTATTTTAATTCATAAAAAATGTAAAACCTTGAAAGGTAATTTCACCCTACCTAACACACAGGGATGGCTCACCACCCTATGTATTGTGACTTACGGAGTAGGTTTGTGGTTGCAAAATCTGAAACAATATTAACAAAAGTTATAAAAAATACTAAGGGTCATGAAAATTATTTATCATACATTTAGATATGATTATATGCAAAATCAACTTTAACAATTCTTGAAAACTAGGAGACTGCTGTTGAATGCGAAAGAATACACGCTGGTCAACTAACAAAAATGGCACTTTGCGATACAAACAGTTTCGATTGACGAGTTAAATGAGAAATTTACTGTTTATAACGAAGTACTTTCGAAAGAATAATCAAGCGTTATGTTCACTGCAATTAAAATAGCACTTTTTTAAACTCCAGGAAACTTGGTCTTCCACACTTAAGTATATAATCAATCAGACATAGACCAAAACAGACAATTTGTTTCACTATTGTGTGCTTGGTAAGATATTGTGTAAAGTGTTAGTTTGATGAAAGTGAGCTGTGTTGGTGAACGAAAGCGAATCACTTGGTTCAAATATGCCTGCTACGCGCATCTTCCTGAGGCATGAGAGTTAACTGTCTTTAAAAGTCCAGTTTTCACCCTGGCCGAACTAGACTGGAATTCCTGGGCTCGATCGTAGCACCACCAGTGGCTACTACCAGTTATGTCCCTTCTAAGCCTCTCCTATGGACCAATCAGATGCCACCTCTCGTGTCACTTGCGTTTGCTTCACACAAAATGGTGGCACCCAGTCAGGACGACCTGATCGATAATCAAGATCTATATTGTGATAAAACGGGTCTTACATCGCGAAATGCATCAAATCACGTGAGCACCTTGATTAAAAACATGAAAAGATTTGGAAAATATCTGCAGACAACAAGTTGGCGGTGCACATGCTTTGCAAATCCTGCAATCGACCGAAATCTGCAAGAGAGTTTACGAACCAGATTTCAATTTTGGTTGCGCGATTTTGATTGGACTATGCATAGACTTGTTAGTCCAGCCAAACTGTAACTCCATAATACCAGTCTAGTTCGGCAAGGGTGGAAACTGGACTTTTATAGTCAGTTAACACTCTTGCCGAGGGAAGATGGCTACGCAGGGTGTTCAAAAAGTTCTAAGTCTGACTTACTTTCAACTATGGGCCATAACAATGGGCGTCATCAGTTTTTGCTCGGATAAGACACACATGCTCATAAAATACAAACAAATATTAGAACAGTTATAATATGGTATGTACCTGTTCATATGGTCAATGTTATTGCATACAAATGTTTAATGTGAAAGTCTATGAAGTGAAAGTCCGTATCGATTGCTTCTGAAGTTCCGAGTGTGGTCATTATACTCTGGGATGATGTCATATGTTTTCACTGGCCTCATTGGCTTACTATTTATGTCCACTTTGCCTCACACAAGGTTGTCACATGCACAGTGGGGGAAGCCCCATCACAAAATGACGTCAATAAAGTTAACTACAGGTGAAAAAAGTGCACAAAATATTTACGCAATTGTAATGTACATCACTAAAACTCTGCATATCGTCTCACACACCTGATAGGTGTGCAATAGATCAGATGAGTCCAATGTGAATATGCAGGGTGTGTGCATTGTGCCCATTTCACAAGTATGTACATTGCTGTACTTCTTTTGGCTGCCACTTTTTGCACTTGCAGCAAAGTTCACCTCATCATTCTGTTATTCTTCCGTAACTGTCGAGTCCTCATCAAGGACTGCCACGCTACTGACACCAGAAGTACCCAGAGTTGGTGAAGTGGATGGGGTATTCCTTCAAACAGTAGAATTTGTAGACTTTATTGGCTTATATGTACAGGCTTTCTTTGTGTGCCACTAGTTTGGCCAAGATATTGTCCTCCATTATTGCTTTTTCTCCAACAACTGAACTCATGACTTTTCTTTTTGGGTTTGGGATCTGCTGTTAGAAAGTGTTCAGCGTTTCTAAAGAAACTGGTACACCTGGTGGTACTTACGACATTGTCACCTGAGGAAATTGTTGTTGTGGAAGATATAGTAGATGTCTCAGCACTTGTTGTGAAAACAGTTGATGGAAGAAATGTGCCTTGTTTAACTACATTCCGCATCGGGTGTATGCTACATTTCTTGAACGGAGACTGCAGATTCATTGGTGTGAGTGCAACACAGTAGGCTTTGCATGCAACTTCGCATACCGAATATCTGCCAATCCAAGACCTTACATGTTCCCTGATGAATTTGTGTCTGAGGCCGTTGTAAAATTCTCTTGAACATGTTGAAAGGACCAAAACATCCAACGTCCATAGGCTGGAGGAGATGCGATGTATGTGCTTTTCCCGTGCCCACTCGATAAGTGACAGAGATTCATGTGACTTGTGGCCCTCATAAAGAACCAGGATTGGATTATCTGCTGTAGCCTCAACACAGTACTTGCTGAAGTTGACCGCCTCCATGGTCTAGTGGTAGAGTGTCCGCCCAGAGAGCTGAAGGTCCAGTGATCGATCCCTGGTTGCGTCATACCAAAAGACGTTAAAAGATGGTACTTGTTGTTACCCTGTCTGGCGCTCGGCATTAAGTGGCTGAAACAAGGACTGGTAGGATTGGAGTCTGTATACTGTGTCTTAGTGGGGTATTCATTTTAGACTGCGGCTTGGTATCTCAGTGTGCTAGCACTATAACTTGCCATCTGTCCGGACTAGTAGAAGCAGTCATACACGTGCATGCACATTGCTATATAAGTGCAATAATCTTGGATGCGGCGTTAAACCCCATTTCACCTCACTTGCTGAAGTTATTTTCAAGATATTTCCGAAAGATCTTCTTGTTGGACAAACTTTTTTCACTGACCATGCTGACGCTGCCTAAGTACTGGGAGTACATCCTGTCAAAAGTTCATCCCTCATTTGCTGACCCTTAAACCCTGTAAAAACGAAGTAGGGGGATACTGTCATTCCAATTACGCTTCCACAGCCTAATACATTCATTGTGTTGGCCCTAGGCGTTGTGACAGCAACCGTTATGTTGGATTGCATGGAAACTACATTTTGTGTGTGGGGGGGCTTGTTATAAATTGACTGAGGTCTGTCTCTTCGGTTGTACTTATCCAGGATCTTCGCCAATTCATCAAATTAGGCGCTGGTCGTCTTTTCCGATGTGGCTTTTCTGTCTTGATCTCCAAAGAGCGGAGCTTCTGTACTCTCAGTTCTGAAAACTGTAAAACATCTGAAGTAAAAGAGGCTTGTCATCATGTGGTTTCTTCCCTAAGCAGACGGCAAGATTGGTAGCTAAAGCTGTAACTTCTGTCTGAGAATAACCATCATCTCTACATGAGACACAAGTCTTTGTTCTCCTCTTGGGACAATAACGCATAGGGTCCCGATTACACACATTCATCAGACACTTTTCCACAAAGTTGATCGTGAAGAGACGAAAAGGGCACGGAAGACTGTCTTGCTGCACTTTTGAGCTCTTGACTTTAAGCTTTTTCCATAATTTCTGGTGGATATTACCAATAATTGCCCTTCCCTGATGTGATGAAGTCCTAAAATCATAATAAAAACTATCATGACATTAACATAAAACATCATGAAAATATCCTCAGAAAGTATGCATGATATAAAAGATGGCCCCATTGCCTTTCCGAACATTTTATTTTTGCGAGAGTATCACTTGATTGTCATCTGATTTTCTGATAGTTGATATGAACACCAAGCAGACAATCCATCACTTAGGCTTTTGACAGAACTAAAACTTATATGATATAAGTTTTTCATAGTGGTGAGTAATGTCTTAGTGATTTTGATCAATGACTGTTTTGTAGCTGGATTCTGAGCATTTTGTCACTGGAGCAGTAGTGTGACAGTGCTTGTTGACAAACAATCTGCCGGTGACATCACATCTAAAAAAATACCAGAAAAAAACGTGATTCAAAAATAAATGTTAAGTGAAAAAGTTTTGTTTGTTATTTATTTAACGCTGCACTCGGCAATATTCCAGCTATATGAAGGTGGTCTGTGTAAATAATCAAGTCTGGACCAGGCAATCCAGTGATTAATATCATGAGCATCAATCCGCGCAATTGGTATCGATGACATGCATCAACCAAGTCAGCGAGTCTGACCATCCGATCCCGTTAGTTGCTGAAGACCTATTCTACCCCGGATCTTCAGCGAAAATGTGATGCTACGATACATTGTTTGAGAAGTTCATTGCAAGTGTATTTGGTGTGTTGAGGCCATTTGTATATTATTGACAGACAGTTGAACGTGATAGGGGTCAAAATGAACACAGAAATGGAAAAGAACGAGTACCGAGCACCTATCAAGTTTTTGACTGAAGAGAAAAGTACTCCCCAAGAAATTCATGACCCACGTGTCACAAGTGTAATGGAGATAATGCCCTAGCTATTCCACTGTCAAATATTGGGCTATTGTTAAGGCTGGCACCATTACAATTCTCCGGCACCAATGAAAATCAAGTCTTCAAGATCAGTGAAGAAAGTTATGGCCACTGATGCAAAGGGTGTGATCCTTGTTGATTACTTAGAAATCAAAAGATGATTACAGATGCCAACTATGCTGATCAAAGAAAAGCGGCAAGGAATGCTGACTGCTGGAGCTCTACTACTTCATGACATGCCTCTTCTCAACCAATTGATTTCCACCTGTTTCCCAAACTGAAAGAACACCTTCGTCAAAGGTGCTATGACGACAAGGATTACCTCAAAGCTGCCGTGAATGGGTATTTCAAGGTGGCTTTGGAAAACTTCTTCCTGACTGGAATTTAAAAGCTTCACTGTTGAAGTGTATTGAAAAGCAGGGGTATTTTGTTGAAAAATTAAATTAAAAACACTTTCACAATTGTTGGTTTTGTTTGTTAGGCTCAGAACTTTTTGACTAACCCTTGTAAGTGTGCAAGGTATGACCAGTATATTGGTAGGTTGAGGTTCATTCTTTCCACATGGTGGATAATTTTCTAATGCTCAGTGATTCAAATAGCGATTATTATCATGTGTTTAATGTTATGCACTTGCCAAATACCAGAAGCGTGCATCAGTTTGTATTTGTTGAATTAGTACCATATTTGTTTAAAAACTCTGGGAAAATGTTTATTGTCAGTTCCACAATGCAGTGTACACAGAAATGTGTTGTTAAACTTGATGTTACTTGTAGGGCTTTAGGATAGATTCAGATGTACATTTGTTTACATTCAGGAAATGGCTGATTTGCCTTTTTGTGTATCTTTGTTTTTACTTAGTGCATAGTGGCTGCATTTGGGACAAGTTTTCTCAGAAACTACTAAAGTTACACAAATAAAACTTTGCATGCATATCTTTCAGATGTTCCTGGCCAAAGCATTGTATGACAACATTGCTGAAAGTCCTGATGAGTTAGCCTTTAGGCGTGGAGATGTTCTCACCGTTACAGAATTAAACACAGGGGGATTGGATGGATGGTGCCTGTGTTCACTTAGGGGCAAACAGGGAATAGCCCCGCGCAACAGGCTGAAGATTCTGTCTGGCATGTCTGACTATTCCACTGGAGATGAAAGTCTGACTTCCAGCAGTAACAACTTAACGAGTAGCCACAGCTGGGAATCTTCACTCCAGAAGGTTTGTGATTGTCTGCTGGGTCATTCAAATAACATATTTTCTTGAGTATAGTGTGCAACAAACCAATATATGAACAGGTATAACAATAGTGTCAAGAGTGTTCAATAAAAATGTGAATGTGAGATAAAACTTCACTTGACATGGTGGGTTTACCTTATGAATTGTATTTCCTGTTCTTGTAGGCATTCTTTGATATGCAGAGATTATGATTACTATGTGTATTTTCTTGTAAACTAAGCATAAGTTAACAATCAGCCGTACACAAATTTTCTCCAAATGTACCCAGAGCTACAGATAAGCAGCGTATTTGCGTAAAAATACCCCCCCCCACCAAAAATAAAATAAAAAACATATTCCAAACCCAATTACTCTCAATTAACTTGCGTACAGAAACACATGCATTAAATAAAATGCTGAAATGTGTAAAAACAGTATGCGTAAATACCCAATGAAGTTTTTTCAGCATGTGCACAGCAGAGCTAATTTCCACAATTATGAGCTTATTTACTTTCCGAGTCAAGTCTATATATTTAGAACAGTTTTATACACCTAAGACATTATTTCATTTTTATCCCCCCGGCATATAATGCAGGGGGATATAGCGATCAGCCTGTCTGTCCTTCTGTCTGTCCGTAATCATTTCCTTTTGCGGGGCAGAACTCGAAAACAATTCAGTGAATGAAACTTATATCTATCAGTCACATACTGAAGTTGTGCCTTTTGCCTATTAAGGAATTTTAGAAATTTTTATTTTATACATTTCCATGGTAACAAGTTGGACTTAGGTTCTATAAGGGTGGTGTTCGTTTCCGGAGCGTAACTCCAAAAACGTTAAATACTTTCTTACAAAACTTTGCATGTCTTCTAGGCACATACTGAACTGGTGCCGTTTGCTATTTAGGAATGTTTTTTTTGTTTTTTTTACGTTTCCATGGCAACAAGTTGGATTTAAGTTTTCATATAGGGTGGGTTCACTTATCATGCTTATGGAGTATAACAAATAAACTGTTAAATATTTCCTTGCCAAATATTGCATGTCTATATATAAAGTACATACTGAACTGGTGCCATTTGATATTAAGGAGTTTTAGAAATGTTTATTTTAGAATTTCAATTGCAGCTATTTTGACATGTGCTAAGAGAAATGTTGGGTCAGTTACCTGGTTTGGGACCATAACGTGTTAAAATGGGCGGGGGATATAGACATGATCAACAGATGACTTTGTTGACTATACGCTTGTTTAGTTATTGTTTCTTGTAATTTGTCTTTTGTTTGCATAACAAAAACCCACAGAAACACGCATGGTTTTTTTTCCATTTCATATGGATGTGACTATGGTGGATCTTTTGTTGGTAATCAATGTATGCTTCTTAAAGAACATTTAACTCTTGACTCATTACATACAGAATTGCACATTTACTTGTAGTTACTTTACAGACAGCTGCCGGGGGGATATGTCATCTTTCTGACTTGTTTTTAAATCTTAAAATGTTCACTAATTTTGGGAAAAACCCAATAGAGTGATGAATAGATGAGTGAAAAAATATTGGTTAACCAATGAAAAATGTAATAACCCAATTGAAATAGAAACCCCAGAGTAAAAACTCAATTGCTCAAAAAGTTATCCGGAGCTCTGGTACCATTCAGTTAAAATATACCAAAAACTTCAACATGTTCAAAGAATTTGGATGCAGTGATTGGAAGAAATTGTGTCTGAAACTATTATTTTATCAGGAATAATATCTTCCAATAACTTGTTATTTGAATTGCAGCTTTTACCAGTTTACTATATAAATATATTTAAAATAGTATCAACCATAAGCTTATCACTTTGGTACAGCCGATGCTACTGCTGGATATTTTTTAATTATGTAACAGTTTGTCCAGTCACTGTTGAGGCTCCCGCAGTTTTAGATTTATGTCTTTTAACGAGTCAAAGAATGGCATTTATGATATATGTATCAATGCTGACAGCAATGTCTTTGCTTTTGGGAAAAAAACATCAAGCATCATTGTGGCATGTATTATGCGCATCCCCCTCTATACAGCTGTGGTTATTTTGAGGGGGTAAAAATGTGTACTATACTCATGAAAATATGGTATATGCAGGTCCAAATACCTATTGCATGAAAAAAACATTTAATCAGTCATGTGGGAGCTTATTACGCCGAATATGGTAAGTGTCATTAACTCTTTAGGACCAGTCCCTTTGGCATTTGTGATGATGGGCTTGAGTCTTGCACTTAATAGAACATTTTTTGCAGGGAATATGTGTATTTCAATATGTGTATTTCAATATGTGTTTAATCAACCAATTCAACGATTAGACACTTGGGTCCGAGTGGTCTAACATACCTCAACCATGTCCTACATTTATGGCACCTAAAATGCTTCAAAAACGTTGTTTTGTTAAAGGTATTTTGATAGATATTCAGGAGCTCTATGCTCAACTGTTAGAACACTGTGTGAGTCAGCCCTGCGTGAAGCACGTGAAATGTGTTCCCCGAGCCTTTCTCACGTGCACCTCGCACTTTGTCGATTTGGGCTATGAAATTCATGTCCCAGGGCAAGTATACCATTCATTTGAATGACTAACTCGAGCATATTTTTCAATCAACTCAATATTGGGCGGTCGGGTAGCCTAGTGGTTAAAACATTCGCTCGTCACGCTGAAGACCTGAGTTCGATTCCCGACATGGGTTTGTTTGTTATTTTTTTAACGCCTCACTCAGCAATATTCCAACTACATGAAGGTGGTCTGTGTAAATAATTGTGTCTGGACCAGACAGTCCAGTGATTGACAGCATGAGCATCGCTCCATGCAATTGGGATACAATGACATGCATCAACCAAGTCAGCGAGCCTGACCACACGATCCCGTTAGTCGCCTCTTACGACAAGCACAGACACCTCTTATGGCAAGCATGGGTTGCTGAAGACCTATTCTATCCCGGATCTTCACGGGTACCCGACATGGGTACAATGTGTGAAGCCCATTTCTGGTGTCCCCCGCCGTGATATTGCTGGAAGATTGCTAAAAGCGGCGTAAAACCATACTCACTCACTCAACTAAATATTACTTGCCCATGTTGATGGGCCTTTTATGAGCAATTGTAAACCTATAGAAAGTGTGTTCTGTGTTGTGATTGGCTAATTTGGGTCACATGACCAAATGTCAAAGGGTGAAAATATGATTTGCATTCCCTGAAGCAAGCGAACGAATCACTGTGTAGGAAATAGAGATTACTACATGAGTGTCTGTCAGATACCATTGATCTTACAACGAGTTGTTTCAAAACGTATCTAACGAGTGAAAGCGAGTTAGATACGCTTTGGAACAACTTTTTGTAAGATCAATGGTATCTGACAGGCACAAGTGCAGTAATCTGTTTCTTACACACCCAAAAATCGCACCTTTATAGCAACGAACCGATGAATTTGTCTATTCTCATGACTGCAGTAGCGCATTAATACATAACACCACTGTCATAAGTGAAGTCATCCTATGTGCTGCTTACTACTCATAAATAATGTGACCCTACACAACAAGGTTTCCGTTTTATATCTTGATTATCAAGGCGATGATGAAAATGCAAACTAGACAAAAACAAAGAACAGCTGGGTGCCAAGTTGAAAGTTTACACCTCAAAGAAATTACCAAATGTGTACAACAATGTTTACTTCTGTATGACATCACTACTGGTGACTGACTTTTACAAAATGGCATGTTCACTTACAACATTATGCGGGATTTCCAGAGGAGGATTTTCGTTGATTGAGGGATCGTATACACATAAATGGTTCACGTAAGTAATCAGAAGCATTCTGACAATCTGCGTACTGTTATTTGTTATCCCCCCGGCATATAATGCGGGGGGATATAGCGATCAGCCAGTCTGTCTGTCCGTCTGTCCGTCTGTCCGTCCGTAATCATTTTCTTTTCCGGGGCAGAATTCCAAAACCATTCAGTGTATTTGATCGAAACTTGGCAAATCTATCAGGCACATACTGAAGTGGTCCCTTTTGATATTTTGGGATTTTTCTAATTTTTATTTTTTACAATTTTTATGGAATGAAGTTGGACATAGACTCAATTGGGGATGGGGTTCGTTTCCGGGGCAGAATTCCAAAACCATTAAGTGTATTTGATCCAAACTTGGCAAAGCTATCAGGCACATACTGAAGCGGTGCCTTTTGATATTTTGGGATTTTTCTAATTTCTATTTTTCACAATTTTTATGGAATGAAGTTGGACATAGACTCAATTGGTGATGGGGTTCGTTTCAGGGGCAGAATTTGAAAACCATTCAGTGTATTTGATCGAAACTTGGCAAATCTATCAGGCACATACTGAAGTGGTCCCTTTTGATATTTTGGGATTTTTCTAATTTTTATTTTTTACAATTTTTATGGAATGAAGTTGGACATAGACTCAATTGGGGATGGGGTTCGTTTCCGGGGCAGAATTCCAAAACCATTAAGTGTATTTGATCCAAACTTGGCAAAGCTATCAGGCACATACTGAAGCGGTGCCTTTTGATATTTTGGGATTTTTCTAATTTCTATTTTTCACAATTTTTATGGAATGAAGTTGGACATAGACTCAATTGGTGATGGGGTTCGTTTCAGGGGCAGAATTTGAAAACCATTCAGTGTATTTGATTGAAACTTGGCAAATCTATCAGGCACATACTGAAGTGGTGCCTTTTGATATTTTGGGATTTTTCTAATTTTTATTTTTTACAATTTTTATGGAATGAAGTTGGACATAGACTCAATTGGTGATGGGGTTCGTTTCCGGGGCAGAATTCGAAAACCATTCAGTGTATTTGATCGATATTTGGCAAATCTATCAGGCACATACTGAAGTGGTGCCTTTTGATGAAATTTTATTTACGAATTTCTATTTTTTACAATTTTTATGGAAAGAAGTTAGACCTAGACTCCATTGGGGAACGGGTTCGTTTCCGGGCCAGAATTCGAAAACCATTCAGTGGGT